TTGAGCCGCGGCCTCAGAAGACTCCCCGTGGCTATCACCACAGTGGCAGAGTGTCCTTCCTCTACAAAGCTGCATGTTAGGGAAGCACACAGCAACTAGGGACAGGAAGAGGATCCTCTGGGCTCTGCTGCCGACCAGATGTGTAGCCCTGTTGTTGCTCCTGGACAGTAGCCCTGGTCCATGTATTTGGAAATCTGTGTTGCTGCACCTGTTCTGTCTGACCCATCCTGGCATGGAGAGACCTGAAGGACCAGGACTGAAGGGTTAGTACAGTCTGTTACCTAATTCTGTTTGCAGTTCCTCTGCATGTGTCACCTTTCATTCTATTTTCACAGCTTCTCAGCTAAATCAAGGCCTTTATTATGTGTGAGGGTCATCACTACAGCTTCTGTCTTACCTGTCCAGTACATCTTTGTTTCAGCTCATCCCACCAACCTTTCTGGGAGCACAACTCTCTTACTCCTCTGTTTAAAAGCCTCGGCACCAAACTAAGGCCGTGTCCCTCAGGCTGGTAACTAGGCCCTCACTGATAAACAGATTATTTATCAATCTGTTGTTGTTCTTCAACCACATTAGATTTTTCACTTTTCCTTGACTGGGCCCAGTAGTCTCTTCCTACTTCTTTTTTTGTTGAAATCCTATCCATCAGTTCAGGTCTGAGTCAAGTCTGGCTTAATTTAGGAAACTTTCCTTAATTTTCCCCTGCTGTAGTTTATAGCATTTATACTCTGGCCATAGTGGTAGTGATTTTTGTTCCAAACTTTTTCTTAACCTGATTCAACTATAAAGTTTCTTGAGAATGGGGTTGGTATTTTGCTTCATCCTATCACACACTTACTGTTGTTTTGCATATCAACACAGGGCAAACGTCTGTGGCAATGAACAAATGAAATCGGGTCAGTAATGTGTCTGGCTGCTTGATGGCGAATTGAGGAAGCCATGTTTATGATCCTAAACAGGCTGCGTCTGCCCTAGGCTGGTCATTGAAGAAAGTAATCGCTAGAGAAGGAAGAGCTGGCAGGAAGCAAGTTGAAGTAGAGCTGGCAATCGCCATTGTCACTTGGGGGGTTCTCAGAGTGAGTGGTAGAATCACAGGGTGACTGTGGGTCCTTGGACTTGAATGGAGCTTAGGATTTCACCCAGGGATGATGGAGGGGGAGGAATGGCATCAGTGTTTGACAGACTTGCGTGGTAGGACTGCTCTTAAAACTCATAAAGGTTGTTTTCATCTGCTTGAGTATACATTTGACTGGCTCAGAACTAGAACTTGGGGGAGAAGGCACAAGGCACAGACCCCAGAGTGTTCCATACTCTTGTAGAGTTGACCCAGGTACTCAGGGCAGGGCTGGAGCTTGAAGTCTGGGCCTCTTTTAGCCAGATCTCCATTTTGGCTTCTCCAGTGACTGAAGGTGAGCTCAGGGTGGCTGTTAATAGTTCATCCAACCTTGACATTCTTGTCTGACCTAGGTGGGAGTTATCTCAAGACTCAGGGAAGGGAAGAGGACTCAGGGTAGAATAGCATGATTTTAAGTAGCAATTTCTTTGTTCAAGCTTAGGTTTTAAGCCTGGAGATTCTGTGTCATTAGATCTGAGGTGGCCCAAAGTATTTTTTATAAGTTTCTAGAAGCAGTTGAGGAGAAACTAGGACTGAAAACCAATCTTACAACGTGATTCTGAGCACTAGGAGACAATGTGGCCTACCTGACAGTGGGGGTTTTCAAATACGATTCATTATTGCTAGCATCATCTAACGGTTTATACCTATGGTGACAAACCCATGGCACGCATGCTGCAGCAGGCTGTTTGTGTCATTGAAAGCTCTGAATGGTTCACTTCGTCATTACTGCTGTATACCTGTCCAACTAAGTGTGTATGTTTAGTCTGGATAAACCGACTGTGCTGTTGGGCATGGACGGAAAACTCCCAGGATTGAAGAGAGGAAAGCACGTCCTATAATCCTTGCTGACTTCACTTCTCTAGGAGTTGCTGCTTCTTTTTTTCCCTTGGAAGAAGAATTTGCTTTCCCCTGGGCTATGTTTTCTCTGGTTCTAGAGGCTCCAACATTTCTTTTCAAAATAATATCTGGGTGCTAGAGATATAGCTCAGTGGTAGAGGATGCATGATATGCATGCTTGAAGCCTTGCGTTTGCCTAGTGGACTGTCAAAATCAAAGCAAGACATCCACAACAAACAAACAAAAAACATATTTTGTTTGCTTGAAACCTCGCTGAACTAGATGAATAATCGAAACTGAGCCCTTTCCTGTTAAGCAGGAAGTTTCAGGGAACTCCATGTTTTGTGCTGGTGTTTGGGAAATACTTTGTGTAATTGTCAGGTTTCCAAGGACCTTGAGGCTCAAATATTTTTTAGGAGATCATGGATCCCACCTCTGCCACCCCTGGCCCCTACTCTGTCTGGGTACAGTTTTAATTTATTGATTGATTGAGAAAGGATCTCGCCATAATAGTTCAGGCTGGCCTTGAACTTGTGATCTTTGTCAGCCTTCTGAGTGCCAGGATTACAGGCACTGCCAGCAAGCCCACTTTGTCTGGGTGGGTTTCTGAGTGTCCATGCCCTTGTTTTTTTTTTTAACAAGACATGTCTACATATAACATTGTCCTTCAATAGAGCTCTTTGAGCCGTGTAAGCTGACAGGGCAGGTATATTGCAAACCCCAAAGATACAGGGCCCAACTGAAATGGAGTCTCGCGCTTTCTCCTACTAGCTTTGCTGAGGAAAGGCCTGCAGGTTGTAGCCCACACATACAAAGGGGAAAATGAGATTTCCCCCTGACCGTGTTGTCTTGGGCTGTTTAGGTCTCAGTTATGCAGCCACGATTTCCTTGGCACAGCTCCCAGTGCAGACATCCAGGTCTCTGTGCAGGAGTGGTGTTGAAGGTGGGTGTGGACTAAGGATCACAAAGCACTCTGTGTGGGTAGAGGCTGGCAGCTGAGAAATCTGGGCCTGCAAGAAATCCCCTGGGTCTCATCAGCTATTTTCTTTTTTTCTGTAGAAAATAGATTAGCGGCTTTAATTCTTCCCACACTGACCACATCGTGAGGCTCCCCCCACCCCACCCGGAGGTATCATCTCACATTCCCAACTTCTAAAGTGTATCTCTTTTGCTATGGTGTATTCTTTTTCCTGTTGGTAATAATCTAATCCTTTTGGAATAAAGTGGAGTCTAAATGTAGGATTAACACGATTAATAATTAAGATTGATGGAGAAAAACATCTCTGTGGCTCTCACCTCTGAGCCTTTGCCATCTGCCAGCTGGTGCTTTGCTCTTTTTCCCACAGATAGGCAATTTTGTTGCCAAGTATTGACGCCCCCTCCCTAGAGCACAGAAAAGGTTATAGTTTTTTTCTCTTTCATTTCCAGTACAGTATTTTGGCCTTTTGAATAGAAGAATAAAGCCTGCTGAAAATTTAATGGAGTCCAGCTTTGGGTGACTGCTGACTTGATGTTATAGAAATCTAGGTCTTTACTACTTAGGCAGCTATCTTCCATAGAGACCTGGTTCCTCAGGCAGCATAGATGGGGTGGGGGATGAAGAATAAAAACAGTTCCTAAATAGAGACCTTCCTGGTTAGGACCTGCATTTGAGTTCCAGGCACCCTTGTCATAGCGCAATCATACAGATTTGCTAAAGTGATGGATCATGGCCCTCATTTAAGGGCGAGTGTAGCAGCATGATGTGGACTGTACAAAACTAGGACAGGAGGTGGAACAGAGCATAGTCCTTGCAGCTCTAATATGGCAACAGAAATAAATATTTTTGGGCTCCAAGGGCCCCATGTAAGAACAGGCATTTGGAATCCTGGTTAGCTTTCTGACATCAGTCCAGTTAAGAGTTAACAATTTAATCACATTGGTCTGAGCATCTACGAATCTATGGTCACTGGCATTAATCCTCTAGTGCAGTGATGGTGACCCTTTCAGGGTCCAGTGCCCAAACTGCAATCCAGGACCCACTTATTTATTGCAAAGTGCCATCACTAACCCTAACAACAATTAAACCTGAATACTGAGGTTTTAATACAGAAAAGCTCATACATTAACATCTTTTGTCTTAAAAGAAATAACACATGCGCCATAGGTTCACCACCACTGCTTTAGTGGCTGAGCTGTGCGGAGGGCACACAGATGGTAGGAGGCAGTAGGGGCTCAAAGCAGCAGCTGTTTCCACGTGAGTATGGTAGCATTTCTGCTAGGAACTGGCTCTAACTCTAGCTTCCACCTCAGAGGTGAAAAGAAACTCTGACCTTAGTTGAACATGGTGGCGCACACCTGTCATCCCAGCTGCTGTGGGGACTGAGGCCTGAGGCTGGAGCATTGTAAGTTTGAGGCCAATCTGAGTAATTTAGTGAGACCCTGTCTCAATACTTAAAAAAAGGAAAAAAGGAAGTAACCTGGGAGTGTAGCTCAGTGATAGTGCACTTTACCAGTAGGCAGGGACCCTTGATTCAATCCCTAGTTCTTCTGCAACACAAAAACTAAAAGGAAACTAAATAAATTTAAAAAACTGTAACCCTAAGTGCTTGAGGCAGGTCAGAGTGATTTCAGTCAGGTTATTTGAAAACTTTGACCAACTTAGAAGATAAAAATACAGCTTGAGATTTTTGTCAAGAAATAAGTGCCTTGAATCTCCTTGTATGTCCAGCTTTTTAGGTCTCCAGTGAGACACAGGAAAACTTTCTCCTTCTCCACCCATAAACATAAAATTTAGTTCTTTTAGTGAGGAAGTTTTAGTTTTTGTCCTTTGCTTATAAAGAGACTAAGTTGCCATGGTTGACATCTCAAGGTACAAGTGAAATTTTAGAGGTAAGTGCTTTAAAAATGAGTAGTCACTGTCAGTTGCATACAGTTGTATCTCTTCATGAAAACTGAATCCAAGAGGTTTTCATTCTAAGGAGATGTTTCAAATTTTTGAATATTTGGATGAAGTTTCCAGCAATTACCTGACTACTTAAGTGGGCTTTGGTTTTTTTCCTTTGAGGTTTTTCAGCCCTTTGAAGTTGAGAGCTGAATTAGGGGGGAGCTTGGACCTTGACGTGGATTCAAACTGCAAACAGCGCTGATCTGTGCAGGTGGGAGGACAGCGGAGAGCAAAGTAAAAGGTCAGGGGAGCAGAAGGTGCCTGCCAGGGAGGAAACGAACCAGGGTGACCTATACTCTCCCCTTTCCTCCCAAGCGACATTTTTCTGTGGCTGGTGTTTTTAGATGCAGCAGATGCTAAGCAATTCCATGTTATTACCACTTTGCTTGCCTTTTCTTTTGATACGTGGCAAGGAGTCTTTCTTGTTTTCCTGACTGCTTAATCATTTGTGCCACTTGTGGGGTGGTTGCCAGACTTCTCAGAGGCCACGTGATATGGCCGAGTCATGGGCAGTGAGAGGCTTTCTGCCCAGTTTGCACAGCCCTGTTTCTCTGGGTACAAAGGTCTGAGGTGGTGATCTCAAAGCCCCCTAGTGTGGCTTCTAGGGAGTCTGGAGCACTTTGATGCCGACCTACTGCTCTTCACCCTGCTCCCTCTTCACCCTACATCGCCATCTGTTTCTGTCCTTCCAGAGGGAGGGACAGATGGTTTACTCTGACTCACAGGTGGGTAACTATGATGCAGGGACACAAGTTAAAAGAAGCTGATTCTAGCTTTCTCCTCATCTTCTGTTAACATTTTTGGGTCATGTATTTGGACTGAATTTCTTTCAGGTAGCAAAGAGGAGTTTGATTTGGCTATCAAAATTATAGCATCTGTGTGCAGTATCCGGCTGAATATGAGCCTACTGCCTTACTGTCAAGTCTCTTGCTGTGATAGTTCCCATTCTTATTCCATGAAATGAAAAACATTAAGGTGGGAGGTTCTGTGGCCACTGGCAGATTTCCCCTAACAAAAACTGGAGGACAAAGTGCCAGGTGTTTTTTCACACTGTGCTATAATCCTCCTGTGGCTCAGGACTCTGATGCTGCAGAGAGGCAATGGCGGGGCAGAAGGGAAGAAAATGAACTGCTTTAGGAGGGAAAACTCTCCCCTGGCCACAGACACACTTTTTCTATCAGGAATCATTGCTCTGTGCTGGTGGGAAACTTCCAGGTCCCATAAACCACTTTTCTATTACATCACCCACATATCAGACCAGCTCAGAGGCATGCGTTCTTTGGTTTTTAATTGTTTGAGGTCTTCCTTGTCCTTTCTGACCTTACCTGACTCCTGCTAACCCTTCACTTTTCCAGGAAGCCATTCTTAATTCTTCTCCTTGCATTTTTGATTTCCAAAGACTCCCTGCCCTCTTTTTGAGAAAGGGTCTCAATAAGGCAGTTCAGGCTACCCTTGAGCTTGCTATATACCCCAGACTGGCCTCAAACTCACAGTGATTCTCTTGCCTCAGGCTTCTTCCTAAGTGCTGGGATTACAGGCAGGCACCACCACACTCGGTGACATTCTTGTTATCATTTTCTTCTTCATGTAACATTCATCACATGTTGTAAAAACATAAGTATGTTGTCTCTGATAGGAGACAAGCATGTATTTGTGTTTCCACAGATTTGCTTTCAATGCCCAGAATTTGACAGAATCTTCAAATATTCAAATGAAAGAAGATTGATCATAAAAGTTTTGGATCATATATTTAGATTTAATTTCTTTTCAGTCAGGGAGCAAAGAGGAGTTTGGTTTGAGCTACTAAAGTTAAAGCCTCAGTATACAGTTGAATATTTGGATCTGAAACTCAAGTAAAAACATCAATCTTGTGGAAACAGGTTTAGATATTAGCAAGTCCTGTATAGCATCCTCTGAAACCCCCAGTGTTCCTAGATTGAAACATGGGAGAACGAAATCAGAGGAGATAAAGGACAGGGTTCTTACACGATTAGATTTTCCTTTCCATTTGTTTTCTCATACATTCATTTTTCCACTTCAGAAATGGCTGCCATCTTCAACGCCCGAGAATGTAAACTGTCCAAACTGGAAGGGCAAAACTACGGCTTCTTCCTGCGAATTGAGAAGGACACTGACGGGCACCTGGTCCGGGTGATTGAGAAGGGTAGCCCGGCAGAGGAGGCTGGGCTCCTGGATGGAGACAGAGTTCTTAGGATCAATGGTGTCTTTGTCGATAAGGAAGAGCATGTGCAGGTGAACGAGATGTTTAGGGTTCTTCTAGTATCTCTTCGGCCTCTACATTGTCTCTGCCAATTATGATTTTTGGGGTCAGTAGAACTTGGTTCCTTCCTGGCTGTCACTGGCAAGGATTTACCATTATTTTTCTTGGTCATTCAAGACCTCTGTAATTAACCAAAACCTATAAAAATATTAATGTATGCCAGAACTGTGCAAAGGCAATTTAATATTCCTAATCTTGTTAAGGCCTTATCACAACGTCATCAAGCCTATATTAGCATCTTGCAGACAAGGAAGTTAAGTGCAGAGAAATTAGCTTGCTTGAATGTTCACAGAGTGACTATATGGGGGCCTTCCTCTAATACTGCCTGATTCCCTTGTCACTACTTTGTCTCCCCCATAGAACTGGGGGGCTGTTGTGCTGTGGGATATCATTCACTTCTAGAAAAGTCCAGTCATTGTAAATGTTCCCTGGATTCCAACAATGCCAGGGGCCCATCCTAATTTGCACGTGAAGATTAGGAGCATTATGGGGAAGGTGGCTGAGACCCTATGTGTGTCAGGTCAGTCATCAGAACCACACAGCCAAATGACAAGCATTTCCCTCTTGCAGTTGATGAAGGGTTATTAATATTAAAGTAACCTCTCCCCCCATCTAGGTGGTGAATCTGGTCCGAAAGAGTGGAAATTCAGTAACTTTACTAGTTCTGGATGGGGATTCCTATGAGAAAGCTGTGAAAAAAGGGGTTGACTTGAAAGAGTTGGGTCAAATCCAGGAGGTGGATTCGAATGGCTTGAAAATGGCCCCTGTGCTAAATGGAGGAGCAACTTGGACCCAGCCGAGGCTCTGCTACCTGGTGAAGGAGGGCAAAAGCTATGGCTTCTCTCTGAAAACTGTCAAAGGTAAGCTGAGGGTAAGGTTCTGGTGATGGCCTACTAGAAGGAAAATATTACCAGTTAATGACTTTTCTTCTTTGACTTTTCAGTTGCTTTAGATACCCCTGCCGCCCTCCCTCTCTTGCTTGGCACAGTTGTGCCACTTGGGATCAGGCAATGGACAGCACCCCAAGTCTGGGGTGGTCCTTGGGCACTCTTGTGCCCCGGAATTAGATTGACACTTCAAGGCCAGAAGGCTAGAGGGCTCAGGCTTCTGAATCACTCTTTTCTAACTCCCTTAAGATGAAGGTGGAACAAGAAAAAAATTTTTCCTAATAGCTAATCTTGAGTAAGACTAGTATTTTTTTTCATCGCCAGAGTGCCCAGATAGTTTATTCAACAAATTCCTGAGCACCTACTGACGTGTCAGATGCCCTTAACAGTTGCCAAGGATACTGCAAAAAAGCTCCACCTTCTTATGAAATGTCAATAACATCCTCTGCTGTAGCCCAGCTTCAGCTGTTCTGAAACTACGCTTCTGACCTCTAGCGAAGAGATTCATATTGGTGAAACCCTGATGTCAGGAAGTACTAGAGATCCTGTCCCATAATTTTGGAAGTGCAGACTGATCTGTGTTCAGGGTTCTACAATGGCTTCCCTGAGACACTAGCTGGACTCAGAGGACATAGTGTTAGCTGGTTGGTGCCACCTCTGATGTTGCCCTCTGCCCAGTGTTTTTCTGGCACTGGTGGTAAGTCATAATTCAGAAAATGATAAGGGAGCAGGCCAAATGTAAACTTGAAATTGTCACCAATACTAAGTTAACCCGTAGTGAGAGATATAAACCAATTATCAGAGTTCTCAAATTTTCCAGTTATTAAATGCAGTGGTGTGGGTATCCAAGGAAACTCGGAATTTCTTAGAAGTTCCTATGTATAAAATGGCAAAAATTATAATTCAGATTTTACTCATTTGATCCTTGTGCTAGTGCTCATGGTTTATGTTAGCTTTGTGAAGAACATGTTTTCTTTGTGACAAGTATATAACAAGGTAACAAGAGTAACGTGCAGAAAAAGGAATTAAGTTATCCCTTACAGGTAATTTGTCCTATCATTTTGCCTAGATTGAAATATTAGTATCTTGAAAGGTTTGACACTGTTTGTGTGCCATCCAGACCCCACGATCAAAACATGTGTGCTTTTCCCAGTGAGGTGATGACTGGAGTTAGTATGAAAGGAGGAGGGAACAGAATAGATGCCTTCTGACTGTACAGATGCAAAGAAAGGACGTATGACATAATGTGAGCATGGTTTGGTACTGTCTGGTTCAGGAGGCCAATATCACCTGAGATTCTTTCCTTGATTTATTTGGGCTCAAATTCTATTTAAATCAAATATCTGGTAAGTAATAGCTTTATGCTAGAAGCTGTAATACTGAGCCTAGATCAAAAGCTGAGGACTGAGTTAGCTCTACAATTGCAAGTCCTGATTTCACATCATCAGGAAAAATTTCTGTAGACACTGGACTTCCAGTTCTGTGCACTGGCGCTCACTCCCATCTCCACCATCTTCCAGATAAAAAGGGAGTGTACATGACTGACATAACACCGCAGGGTGCGGCTATGAGAGCTGGAGTCCTGGCTGAGGATCACTTGCTTGAAGTGAATGGAGAGAACGTAGAGAATGCCAGTCACGAGGAAGTGGTTGAAAAGGTACTGCCTGTCCCCCAGGACTGCTTTTGCTAGCTTTTTACTTACCTCAGAAGCCACGGGAAGTAGTTGGTAGGATCTGGGATGAGTTTATCTCGCTTGTCTCTTTGTACAAAGGGTGAACAGATTCACGAGTGGCATCAATAGTGTTTGTGCAGTTTTAGATTAAAGCCTTTGCTAGTTTCAGGTCAAGAAGTCTAAAGAACCATCTCCCTTTTCTTTTGGATCTTATTTGTCCAATAAGCATGCTGCCCAGTCTGCAGTGTCACTTTCTGCAGTTTCAGTTGACTGTGGTTAGTCACATCTGAAAATATTAAATGGGAAGATCCAGAATTCCAAAATGTACAATGTACAAGTTTTAAATAACTTATTATAGCTATTTTATTATTGTTGTTCATCACTTACTGTGCTTTTTAAAAAATTAAACCCAGGGCCTTTGCATTGAGCTACATCCCTAGCTCTTTATGTTTTGAGACAGGGTCTTACTAAGTTGCTAAATTGCCCAGGCTGGGGTTGAGTTTGTCCTCCTGTTTCAACTTCCCAGAGTGCTGGGGTTACAAGTGGGTTCCACCATGCCCAGTGATTCCTAATTTTTTTTTTTATCGGTACCGGGGATTGAACTCACGACCGCCTGCTTGCAAGGCAGGTACTTATGCCGCTGAGCTAAATCCCAGCCCCCAGTGATTCCTAATTTATAAACTAAACTTTATTATAGGTATGCATGTTCAGGAAATAAAGGGCAGTAAGCAGGGGTAGTGTGTACAGCATGGATACACTGGGAAAAGGGATGGTTTATGCAAGTGTTCACTGCACTACTCAGAAGAGAATGCAACCTAATGCATATTAATTATGCTTGAAGTTCTCCATGTAATACTTTTGAACAGCGGCTGACCTCAGATAAATGAAACTTCAAAAAGTACAAGTATAGATGGCAGGCGTCTTCTGTACAGAGCCACACATGCAAATATTGGAAGGCCCATGGCACACTAAAATACTGGGAAGTTTTCCTTTGAGGTCCTTAAGAACCTTAACTTCACCAACCTTTTCTTCCCTTGGTAGGATGATCTTTCAGAGTGGATCTTTCTTTTCTTTTCCAAATTCCTCTGGCCTATGCCTACACACCTTTCTGGGTTTTCTGAATTTCAGTTTTGTCTTGGGTTCATTAACATCTCTGTGGATAAGATTGCACTTAAAGGGATAAAGAGCAACTATAGAAGTGGAGATAGATAAATAACAATTGGGTGGTAGAAAATAGTATGACAGCTTATAAGCAGACCCTACATCCTATGCTTTCTGTTGAACACAGAGACAGGGCCTTTGTACAGAAACCATCGGATTCCCAGCATTGTTCTTGGAAGTTCACCTGTGTGTGTTGTTGCAGGTGAAGAAGTCTGGAAACTGTGTCATGTTCCTTCTTGTAGACAAAGAAACTGACAAATACCATAGTGAACAAAGCATACAATTCAAGAGGGAAACAGCTAGTCTGAAACTGCTGCCCCATCAGCCTCGGATTGTGGAGATGAAGAAGGGAAGCAATGGCTATGGTTTCTATCTGAGGGCTGGGCCGGAACAGAAAGGTGAGGCACTAAAAGGGCAGGAAACCAAACAGGGTAACCGCCCAGTTCTTCATCCCAACATGACTCTCAAGTCTTCGTAGGTCAGCTCTCCACACAAATATAAGCACAGTAAGGAGTTAAGAAGAACAAGCTGTTAGTTTCTGTATTACTTCGGGGCTTGGTCTATTGGGATCCTGAAGTTTCCATAGCAGAGTGATGAGGTAGAGGCAGTGATACATTGGTTAATTGGCTTTCTGAAAAACAGAATGGGTAGCATTTGCTGACTTTCGTAGTGTAAATATTTGCACCGTATGTGCTTTCAAGCTACTAACACGGTATCTCTGAATACAGTGTGTAACGGAGTTGGCTCTTGAGAGCCTCCGGCATCAGCTCTAGCACATGTCTAAGTCTGAGGCAGAGGTGTGCGTCAGGACCTGAGACTGAAACAGAAACTGGAGTCCTTCTGCTTCTTTGTGGATCCAAGTCCTACCATTTATATGGTAGCTGAACAACTTTGAACAAGCTTTGTAAATTTTAAAAAATTTTTTATATTTTACAGTGCTGGGGATTAAACCTAGGGCCTTGCACCTGCCAGCAAGTGCTCTACCACTAAGTTACATCCTCGCTAAACCCTTTTCTGCTTTTTTGTAACCAAACCAGAAGTGAAGTGAATACATAAATGTGGGTCCAAGTCACGCAAACTGCTACTTTCCCAGAAGTTGCTGTTTTCATTATGTTTATATTATCAACTGTTATTCTGGTTTATGTTATTTAAAAACATCCTCAGAGCTTCTCAAGATATCAAGTGACTCAAATAGGATTCTTCAGTCAAGGGACATATTTAGTACAGATGAGACACACATGTCCATAACTGAAGGTAGGTTAACACCCTAATGTAAGGACAGATAAACTACTATGTGAACTCAAGGTCCACACAAGCTTTTCTCACTAAAAAGGTACAGGAGTAGTACTATATTTCTACCAGGTGTAGCAGAGGTGGTGTAGCAGAGGTGGGATTTGAGCTCAGTTTTATAATGTGGAGGTTTGGGGAACGTACAGAGTGTAGGGGGCTGCAGTAGGCAGGTGATCCCAGGAAGGTTAGAGTTGCATAATCAGGGACACAGTTTGGTTGGCATTTAATACATTGTGCAGGAATTCACGTTAGAAAGGTAGGTTGGAGAGAAGTGAGGGACCCTCAAGGCCAGGTAAAGGGCTTGGACTCAGCTCATAAGTGATAGAGACCAGTTTTGAGCAGTGTGAGGGGAAAGGAAAGTTTAAGCTTATCATATCTTAGGGGCTTTGTACATCTGTTACCAACAGTTCTACCAGAGGAGGTGCTGAAACTGAGTGCCTGGACAAGATAATTATGTAATGTGAAACAGCTGTGGTACAGCTGGGGTACAACTCAAAACCATTTATTTCCAAAGCCCATGCTCAGTCTGCTGTCCGGGGAGAGACTTGATGGATACAGGCGTTGAGATGGATACGAAGGGGAATATTTTGGAGAAGGGAAGGACCGAGGGTAACAGCACCTAGTACGCTACAGTTCTGGGCAGAAGAATGATGTATAGAGCCTGAAGGTAGCGTGGGAGGACTCTGTGGCTGATTAGATGCAGGAGTGGATGCTGAGGAAGAACCAGCTGCCCTGTGCTGGTAACGGGGCAGATGGTGTTCCAGAGATGACCGAAGAAGGAGCTTTTGATGGGAAATAGCCAGAGACAAATTCTGGTTTGAAAGCAATACACTGAGGGAATCTAAGAGTTATTCAGCAGCTCGCTGGGAAAATCGAAAGTAGAGTTTGTTTAAAAGTGTGACAATAGGGGGCTGGGGATTTAGCTCAGTGGCATAAGCGCCTGCCTTGCAAGCAGGCAGTCGTGAGTTAGTTCCCTGGTACCAATAAAAAGGAAAAAGACAAAAAAAAAAAAAAAAAAAAAAAGTGTGACAATTGGGCCTGCTGCTGGTGCATGCCTGTAATCACAGTATTTGGAATTTGGGAGGTTAAGACAGGAAGAGATTCTATCTCAAAAAAAAAAAATTAGTAAGTTAGAAAATGTCCTGGGCAACTACCGTGGCTACTGTAATATGGCATTGTAACATGGGTATTGAAATGAAAAAAAAAAAAAAAAACAAAAACAGTTGTGTGAGGGACAAAGAAAGGTGTGAGAGAACTAAGCTAAAGACACTTTCCGAAGCAGGTACACACAATACCTCCTCAAGTAGATACACCCGATTGCTATCAAGATAAGTGGGTTCCCAAAGTCTCAAATCCTCCCCCCCCTTTATGGATCAACTTGTGTGTGAGATTTACAGATATAAGTATGCTTACTGACTTCTGGGGCTTTGTTGACCCTTAATGCTTAGCCTGCTTATTGTGTCAAGATTGACTGTCAGACACGTTTTGTAACATGAATCTTACTGCTTTAAAGATCCTTTCATTGTTAACGGTTGGGTTTGTTTCTGGAGAGGAGCCCAGATAGGTGCTTATGCAGTTCTTGGGTTGTAGGGGGAAAACAGTCATGCTTAGCATACCTTACGTATTTGTTTCATCAGGACTTTGTACTCCAGCAGAAATCCCACAGTTTGTTTAGTATCTTTTCTGACAATTTAATTTTTTGGGGGTAGGTCAAATCATCAAGGACATAGATTCTGGAAGTCCAGCAGAGGCAGCTGGCTTGAAGAAAAACGATTTGGTAGTTGCTGTCAATGGCGAGTCTGTGGAAACCCTCGATCATGACAGTGTGGTAGAAATGATTAGAAAGGGAGGAGATGAGACCTCACTGTTGGTGGTTGACAAAGAAACGGATAATCTATACAAACTGGTAAGTAATACAAAGCCACACATTCATGTGTTAAGGTTGGGTCTGTTCTCAAACTTTGGGAAGGGTTATTATTACTTTGTTCTTCAAACTGGACAGGGCATATTTTAAAAAAGATATTCAACAAAATTCATTTTTTTTTTGGTGGAGGTACTGGGGATTGATACATCTTGCAAGTGCCAGGAAAGTAAGTACTGTATCCTTGTGCTACATATGCAGCCCAGGGGAGCAACAATTATTAGTAGTGAATTGTGCTTAAGCTGGTACGGATAAGAGAATAGGGTATGTGATTACTAAATGTGTTTTAAGTCCTTTGACTCAAGATTTTTAAAGAATTTACAAGCAAACTACAGAATTATCCTTGGCAATCTGAAATAGTCTCTGGAGAATAGGAGTCTAGAAATAGACAGATGTAGCCCTAACTTCTCCAAATAGGAAGCAACTGGATTTTAAACTATAGACCAGTAAGTTCCACCAACTTCATATAAAAGCCTAGAAGAGATAATTTTATTATTCGTAATCCCTTAGCAAATGGTGAGCAGAGATTCATTCAGAACAAAATGTGGCAAACCTTTTTCTTAGTAACTCTCTTAATAGCTACTATTTGCATATTTTAAAGTTTTATTAACACTCTTATTTAATCACAAAAACAGGTGTAGGCAAGTGTGGTTGCACAAACTTGTAAGGCCAGCACTCTGGGAGGATGACAGGAAGATTCCAAGTTCTAGCCCAGCCTGGGCAACTTAGCAACTTGAGACCTTGTCAAGCCCCTCTCCCCATCCAATCCCCTTCACCAAGTTGCTAGAGATGTATCTATGTAATTTGGTGTAAAGGCCTTGGGTTCAATCCCCAGTTTTCCTCCCCTCCAAATTAAAAAACAAAAACAAAAACAAAAACAAAACACAAATAACTGAGGTTCAGTGTAGTTTAAAAGGCATCCTGGGGCCTTAGATATCTGTTTTGCTATGTGTTAGTCCTGAAGATGAATAAGATAAATGGATTTTGTCCTATGTGGTATTCAATCAGAAACATCTAAGGACACACAAATGATACAGAGGGAGGACTAGGGTGGTGCTATTAGCCCCTTTGTGTACACTGGGAAACAGATGTTTAAATTAAGTGATTTGCTAAAGTCACCCAGTTTGGTAGAGATTGAAGCCAGAAACTGAATCCAAGTTTCTGGACTCTTAAGTCATTATACCGTACTTCTCCTCAGCACATTTTGATTAGATATTTCATGATATTTTGGTAAACCAGATGAAAAATGAAACAGATGATTAAAAAAAATGTTTTTTTTTTTTTTTTTTTTTTTAGCTAAACAACCACACCTAGAGGACACTTGATATGGAGAAATGCCAACCTGAACAGAGGTCACCAGTGGTGTGCTCCTCTATGCTAGGTTATTAAATCTGAATGGAAACATGGAAAACATAGTTAATATACACTCTCAGGATTTAAAGCAGTGATGGCAAGAGGGTTTAATCAGGATAGAACCTAATTAGGATAGAAAGAATTAGGTTTAAAAACTAATGAATTATACTGACAGAAGAGTAAATTCCACTACTAATTTTGCTTAAAATGTATGAGTATGAAATGGTGGGACTCAATTTGATGACTTGATATTCTAAAAAGCTGCCCCAAAGAGAACAATTTAAAGTTACAGTAATTGACACTTGGATTCTGGGTAATCACCTTACACTTACTTGACCAGAATCCTTGGACATATTAGTACTACCTGGGCAAGCTATCCACTCTGTGCCTACTGCCTTATAGTTATTATAAAGGGCGGCTAGAGTTCAAGGTAATATTTAGAGCATATAGGAGGTCTCTCATTTGTAAATGTTATGTTTATTAATAAGTGTACAGTTCTAAGAATCCCATTTTAGGAGGATCTGTCACAAGTAGCCAGGGAACAGGTTTTAGAAGCCACCATGTGAGCACTTAGCTTGAACAAGCAGAGGCTTTAGAGAAGTAAGGACAATGTCTTCAAGAACTTGAAAGGCTACAGCATGGGAGGAGTAGTCTTAGTGTTTTTGAGGTGATCTGTAGGGCACAGCTAGACCGAATGCAGAAGCTATAGGGAGCTATTTCTGGCTTAAAAACTGAAGGTGCCAGAAACCAGATGAGTCATTGCCGCAGAGTGCTGAGCTCTCATTTGGTGGAAAAAGTCAAAGCAGAATCCAGCAGGCCACCACTCCAGCTGTTGTAAAAGGGATTCTGGCATTTTCCTGACCTTGTGACAGAATGATGTAACTATTTTTTTCCATTTTGGTGAATTTAAGAGAATTTTGTTTTAAAAAGATGCCTGCCCCTACTCCTGAAAGTAAGCTCTACAGACTGGAGTAGGGGTGGATCTTTAAACTACAGCAGTGAATAAATTAAACATGTACAAGATTCCTGGCACACACTGGATACCCAAATATCCAAGTGATGAGTGACTAAATGTATCAAATGTTTAAACATTAATTTACTTTACCTAAATTTGAGGCGATTGCCAGATACAGCTGATCTACTTGTTGAGGTAGTTCTGTCAGTATTTTGGTACATAATCCAGCACTGTGATAATTTCCAACGGTTCAGAGACATTGCAACGTGGAACAAGATCACTAACAGAGAGCTCTGTAGTTAGTTGGACCAGGTAATCAGAAGGGTTTGTCCTGGTTCAACTCTCAGAAAGGAAGGAAATATGGTCTTGTGGTTAGTAAGACAGGCAAATAACCAGGGGAAGCCCAGATCGAATTTCACTCAGGCTGCTACTGCTCAGTGTTCACCTCCCTATTCACTACTGAACAAATGTCTTGGACACTGTGGGCGGCAACTGTAACTAGAGTTCAAAACAAACCTCAATCTATCACCCTGATCCTCTCAAAAATTCTATTAAGAAACATTAGTCATAGCTGGGTATGGTGGTACTATAATGCACAGAGTATCAGTACAGACCTGGGGTCTATCCCAATACTCTGCCCCCACAGTCATGTTTCTGTGCTGCTCTTGTATTTAAGGCCAACCATGCTGTCTGCATATGAATGGAAGTAGCTGAGACAGCTTGGAAGTATTTAAAAATGATAGGGAGTCTGGCATCACAGAGCTGCCAGGTAATGGTCACAACAATCAACAGCAATAGAATGGAGAGGAACCCAGCGCTGGAGAGACACGAGGGTGTCAGGTAGCAAATGGTTGGAATTAACTTTTGTTACAATATGTGACCACTTTCTCCTAATTACTATTGTGTGTACAGGTTGGCCTTTTCTGTTGTCTTTGAGTCTTCAAACTTAAAGTGAGGGATTGTTTTATTTCACTTTATCTTAGGAATGCAGAAGACCATTTTACTAAGGGAAGGAGAAAAACTTACGAACTTTGTGCGAGGTAGTGGGCTCCTTACTTGAATGTGCTGTCTTCCAAAACAGGACTGTGTAAGGGCTGTGCAGGGCCTTGCTCACTACTGTGGAGCCAGAAGAAACTTGCAATTTTGTTACATATGCTTTTGGATCACTATGCAGAATTCTATACTGCTTTTTCATGTACATCTTTGCATCTGTGTACATTCACCTGATGCTATTCCACAACTTACCTTGTACCTTTCCTGGGTAGGGTACCAGAGCAGTTTTACAGCCTACAAGCAGACAGATCCAGAAAAAGAGTGGACTCCAAATTACATGTTGTAAATGACACCAGCATATATTAAAGTGCAACTAGTCATACTTAAATTTTTTTTTTCAAAAGGCTCAACTTTCTCCACTTCTCTACTATCAAAATCAAGAACTGCCTAATGGTTCTGTCAAGGAGGATCCAGCTCCTGCTCCTCTGGAGGTCTCAAGTCCAGACATTACAGAGGAAGTAGATCATAAGCCTAAACTCTGCAGGCTGGTTAGAGGTGAAAATGGCTACGGCTTTCACTTAAATGTGATCCAGGGTCTGCCAGGCTCCTTCGTTGAAGAGGTATGATAATGTGGTTCCAGCAGCCCAGTGAACAGTCACAATTAGAAAAACCCCAGCTTTTCCCATCCGTAGATGTCTTAGTAGAAAGGTTATGGAAGGCCTATATTCCATTTGGATTCAGATATAGACACTATCCTTCACCCTCTAAGTTAGATTATAATTTCATCTTTTGCTTCTCAAACATTGATTCCATTCAGTTCTCTAGGATACTTCCAAATAAAATAAATACTGTGTTGACATGACTCAGCAAAGACACTTGTTTGCCTATTTATTTAGGTGGCACAATTCCCTTTCTGGTATGGTCTGGCAGTGAACAGACCATCCCTGTAGCTCTCAAATTGGGTGGAAAGAAGGGAGACCTATGAAATCTAACCAGCCCATAATACATATACTATGACAATATGATATTCAGCCAGTTTATATCACTACTCATTTGAGTATGAAGTAGTAGCTTTCATAAGTAGAAAAGTATTATCCTTTCTTTTATAACTCAAGAAGAAATACAGTTAAGAATAAATTTTCAACCATCTCTTCTAAAGGGAAGCTAGTCGAACATGTTGCTAGTCTCATGTTGGAATTGATAACTTGGAACCTCATGTTTACAGGTGCAGAAGGGCAGCCCTGCTGATGTAGCTGGGCTGGAGAATGAGGACATTATCGTTGAAGTGAATGGGGTGAATGTGCTAGATGAACCCTATGAGAAGGTAGTGGACAAAATCCAGAACAGTAAGCACATCACACTCTTGGTCTGTGGAAAGAAGGCCTATGATTACTTCCAAGCTAAGAAAATTCCAATTATTTCCTCCATGGCCGATCCACTGGATGTCTGCCCTGATTTCAAAGAAGAGACCCTGGTAGAGTCAGAGCATGACTTACATGTGGTAAAAGAACGAGTAAGTGGTGAAGATACATTTTTTTTTTTTGGACCTGTCTTACTCCAGAGCATGGTGCAGGTCTTAATGAATATACTTTATATCCATACAGATTTTCTAAACTACTGGAAAATGATAATATAAGTTATTTTAGAGGCAGAACATGGAAAATTTATTTTCACAGCATTCAGTTGGTAGCTATTATATAGGGTTGATAAGTCATGAAATAAGTTTATTAAAATTATAATGGGACTACCAGAAGAACTTGAGTTAGATGTCTAGGTAAAAATCATGGTTTTGTCACTTATCAGTCTTGAGTAAACGGATTTATTTGATCTATTTCACCTCTAAAACAGGGATAATTTATAGAATTGTTACCAGAATTATATTACTTAAGACTACTAAAATACTTTGAACAGTAGCTGGTGCGCTCTGCATAAGAAGCATAAGCGAGCATAAGAATGGTTATTAGGAACACCTCCGTTCCTGAGCACTTGTTTGCAGGCAGTGCACTGGCAACACACATGAGCATGTCCTTCCTTCCCCAACACAGCCAGTCCCCAAAACTGTAAAACAAATTAAGTTTGTAAACCAAGGTGACACTGTATTTGGCAGTGTTATAACTTTCTTAGGGAAGATTAAACATTCTGTGTATATTTGAATTAGATCAATTCCTTGGTAGGTCTTGGTTTTACATTTTGGTCCAGTTGTTTTTCATACATGAATGAGGTCCAAGTTTGTAAAGGAAATTGATGGTAAAGGCAGAAGTCTCAGAGTAAACAGTATTTTTTTTCTAATAGTACGCTAATTCTATACTAACTCTGATGGTGATGTAAATAACAAATACTCAGTGAATACACAAAATAGCCACTGACTTATATTCTGTAAAGCTTAACAAAGTATTTTAATTGCCCTTTAGAAAACCTCATTAGAGGTCCGTTATAAAAATGATATACGAAGGCATTAAGAAATCTGTTAACGTGTCAAAGAGGAAGTTGGAAACAAGGCCAAGTATTGAATTCATAATTCCTGTTTTCTAGAAAGTAACTCTACTTCCTGACTGAAGTCATCCAACTCTCGGTGTTTATATCTGTATCCTGATGTTCACACACTACCATTTGGTAAATCCTTGTTTTCTTCTGCACAGGCCCACAGTACAGCCTCAAGTTCTTCCTCCAGTTCTGAAGACACAAAGATGTGAACAGAATAATGGCTTCAGCTGAAAAGATTCCTACGAAATATCCAGCAACTGCTGTTCCAAGGAATGAGCTCCTGCCTATTTACTGTATTAGAGAAGAATCCCCTCGAGACCATCATGTGCGACTGTTGCTTTCCATGGAGCCACAATCACACATGGCTTATTTATGGTCCAGCTAGGAAGCTTTAAGGCACGAGCCAGCTTTCTGTGATCTGTTCCAAGCTTCAGCTTAACTACATTTCTCTATATGATGATATCTCTTTTATAGGCTCCTTGAGCACCACAGCTGATTCATATAAAATATCGAGCAGATAATTCAATTAAAATTATGCTTTTATAAAAATGTGGTTGCTAGTATAAACACCATTAAAAATATCTTGAGTATGCTTAATTTCTCTATTAGTTGGTATAATTTTTTTGGGGGGGGAGTACTAGGGATGGAACTCACGACTATGCACCTGCAAGGCAGGTGCTTATGCCACTGAGTTAAATCCCCAGCCCCTAGCTGGGGTATAATTTTAATAGTGCTTTTGTTTTGTATAATCTTTATTAGCTTATAGAAAACCAAGACAATACAATGCAGAAAAAGATTTCAGTAAAAAGACTTCAGATATCTCTTGGTTGTTTTAATGGGGAAGAAGTTGGGGGACAAGAGGTGCTAATTTAACTTTTAGATTACACAAGCATAATAAGCTATGCTTGATAAAGTGAATCTAGGCCAAAGTGTTACAATCCTGAGTTTAATGATGGTCAAGCTTAAGGGAAAGACATAAGCTTTTCTACATGAATGCTGACTTAAAACTCCAGTGTTTGGCCCAGTTAATAGACAGCTCTTTCCTCAGTCTTTGTCCCCTTTGCCCTCATGACTTCACAAGGTCACTGCTGAGTGCTGCCTTGAGTTACTTCTCCCACTCATGTTCTAGTTGATGCTACTTATAACCACAGTATCATCTGAGGAGAAAGGGATATGCTGGAGTTAGAACATGAGGTAGAACCACAGCATTTTGTTTAAAAATATTAGGCCTTGGTCCCCTCCATTGCTTTTCCTCAGATTCAAATTCTGATGCCATTGGCTTCTGACGGTCTGTCATAAGTTTGAGTTCAAGGTGCCATATGCTTCTCTGGTGCCTGCTTGTGAGCCAAATAGAGGAATAATATACTGGAAAGGGCACTGACTAGGAAGATGACATCAAACCAACGGTGATAAAAATTAAATTGCAGTTCGCCAAGGACTTCCGTGATTATGGTGCGGTATTCTAGTGGCATACTCATTCGGATCAGCAGTACAGAGGAAACAAAGTACATGCCCTGTAAATCAAACCAATTAATCCACAAGTTAGTTGGAATGTGGTGGGTCAGGTTTGAAAAAATTGTTAAACACATTTCTAGTATTTTATAGCTGTAAACAAAAAACTAGTTTGTTAAACTTACCATTATCTGTGCTAATAGCAGGACAATGACATTGGAGGACTTACTGCTTGAGATGGCATAAAAGAACTGTTAAGAAAGGGAGGAAGGATGATTTAAAGCACTGTTGCTAGATTCTTGTGAAGAAGTAACATGGTAAACCTTTATTTAAAAATGTCTCTTCCATGCTACAATCTTGTATAGAACAATTCAGATGATTAAAGTTATAAAGAAGACACTTGAAACAGACTAAAATTAGTTTCCCCTTCAAGGCAGTTGGTGGTTTTAGGTTTTACGCTAGAATATATGAAAAGATTCTTATGCATCAAAACTTCAGAAATTCGGATGCACATCACCTTTACATCACCGTAATACACTAAAACGGTTAACTCCACGCCACTTCAAGATTGTTAATGGGCTACTGAGCTCTCACCTCAAAATTGTGCTAGATGACTGGTGATTTCCTCTTGTCTTAACTTTCTCTTCTTTCAAATGGCTTTCAGATTTAGAAATCTCTACCTTTTCTACCAGAGAGGACTCCCTTTCCATGAAGCCTTCCTATGTTGATCAAAAAACAGCTGAATATTATGTTCCCCTGCTTCCACATCTTCTTTATAAATGACTCTTATAATTATTCTTCTAAACTCAAACGTCTGCTGAATGCCTATCATGTGCCAAGTTCTATTACAGATGATGGTGAAACACCCATCAACAAAACAGACCCTTATTACCTTTAGACCTTATCTGTGAGTGGTGTGTAATGTCATATACTGCCATAGCTTTAGGTAGCAGTTTAACTTTTTTATTGTGTTGCGTATCTTTAAAAAGTTGTGATCTCGGAGGGCAGAGACTCTGATTGGGTAACATTATTTCATAGTACCGTATGTAATTAAATATATCAGTACTTTCTAACATTGCAATACAACATACCTTGGTAAGAGTGATCAGCAATCCTCTGATGGATGTGACAATGATTATTCCAACTAGAATGAAGGAAATGTGTTGGGACCAGAACTTTACCTGTTACAACAGAAAGAGGAAATATTTGTTAAGTCTCTATTAAGAAAGATATGATGGCTAAGTATACAATTATTTCTGTGACTAGGAGATGAAACTTAATAGACCTTACTCTTTTTTAAGGGATGAAAGCAAGCAAGTAAGTGGTAAGTGAAACACCTGTAGCAAGACTGCAGTAGCCATCTTAATAGCCAATGAACTAAATCTTAAAAGGCAGAAGAAAGCAAGTCTAGTGAAGTGAGTCAAAACAACACTAATAAAACCAAGGTAATGAGACTGTTTGTTTGTTTATTTATTTTTGGTACCGGGGATTGAATTCACAACCATGCAGTTTCCAGGCAGGTGCTTATGCCGCTGAGCTAGATCCCCAGCCAATAATACAGTTTAGAGTAATAAATCAAGAGAAGGAATTAAAAGGAAACAAAGTTCAAACTTAATAGTACCTTGGTTATTTTTAATATCTATGAATGCTAATTCTATGATTACACAAAACCTCAAGGAATCTTTTTATAATAAGAATAGACTTCAGCTATATCTTAGGACACAGAACTTCACTGATCACATAATACTTTTGCTCCCTCCTGCATTGCTTGATAGAGGCAGTTTTGGGATTCAGTTCTTCAAAGTTTCTGAGGAAGAGCTGTTATTGCTAACATCTAAAAAGCTTGCTACTCAAAATTATGAAATGTGAAGGTGAATTATAGATGGTCTATACACATAGCAGGCAAATGACCTTAGGAAGCAGTGATAAGGCAAGCATTTCTAAAAATTTAGCTCAGTAAAAATTTAAATGAGTAAACCACACAGGTCAACAATAGCAAAGCACACTTAATTTTTATATCACTTCAGAAAAAGGTTATCATGTTCCCTCATTTGCAGAAAGGAGACACAATCTGTCAAGAAGTGAGTACCCTGTGCTATTTCTTAAGGACCTGTAGCTAGCTTTGCTCTGGTTCATTCTTGTTTTACTCAGCTACCCTGGAGATCAGAGGCATGTCCTGCTGAGATAGAATACTGGAAGTGGCAGGCAGTTAGTGTCTACAATCAGAGCCTAGTTAAGTAGTCCACACTGGGACTAAGAATGTGGCATCAATCTTTTTTGTTTTTCCTCCTTCTGTACTGGGGTACTGGGGATTGAACCTAAAGCCATCACACTGAGTTGTATCTTTTGGCTTTTTAAAACATTTTGATTTTGAAATGGTGTTCTGCTGAGCAGCCCAGGTTGGGTGAACTTCCAACCCTCCTGCCTTGGCCTCTCAAGAGTGCAGAGATTACAGGTACACACCTCATGCCTGGCGTATTATTCAAGTGTTAATCAGCCCAAATCATTGTCCACACATATATTTATAAAATATATTAATCTATGAATAAGGTCACTAAACTAAATTGAGGCACGGGTGTATTTATGACACTGGTTTTATTAAACGGGTAGAAAAGATGATTTAAAAAATTCAACATTGTACAGTTGATAGTTATAATCTTTAGTCCATGGTCTACATTAACTGATACAGATCTTTTTTATATAGCCAAAATTATTTCAGGTCCAACACGTGACACTAATTAGTTAATTTTCTACTAGGTGAATCAAAGGTGAGTTTGAGTTACTTGCAGAACTCATTAGCGAGCACAGAAAGGAGGATAGAAAGCACAAAAAGGTGGGGAGAAACTGGCAGAGTAGCAGCTAGCTACAGAGAAGCAGAGGAAGAACTGTAGAAATAATCAGCATCTAAGACAATAATGTACCAGTCACTACTTATTCATTTACATTAAGAAAGAGAAACCTGGCCTATTACAAATGTGCCATGTGAAAATGGCAACTTATGCAGTGGATCACATGAAGAAAAGACACAGAAGCAAGAACTTAAATATGGGGGAGTCCTAACAATGTTAAGTTATAGCAGATAAAATAAGAAACCATAATAAATCAAGATCTTAATGGAACTCTTACATCAAACTGGATTCCTAGGTAATTCACAGTGATCTCAATGCCTCTTGTGACAGGATCAGTTTTCCCAACTCGATCAAAAACAATATTGATGGTTGCCTGTAGAGACACAGACCTGCATCTTAATTACTAATTCAAACACTGAGTCAAAATGATTTAATCACCAAGACTTAAGAGGTTGATGTTTTGAAAAATGAAGTTCTACTCAGTCTAAACTATACATAAGAAGTCTATTTAGGCAAATGAAAGTCTCCATCCATTCTATATTTTCTGTAAATAAAAATTCTACAATTAAACCTAACAATAAAGTGATTCAAATAATTATACTAGAAATTCATGTTTCCAGGTATTGTCACAGGAACAAAGCTATGTTATATAAACCTTAGTTTATCAGAAGCCAGAAAGGCTCAGGAAGTCTGAACAAGAGTCAAGAAATTCCAAACTCATTCCTTATAATTACTTTCTGAATGCCCTTGCAGCCAAGAAAAAAGTTATAGCTAGTAAGCTAACGAAGGAAACATGGGTTCCTGTCACAGGGAGTACTGTTTATTCTTTGAATTTCAGTCTATGAACTTTTTAATTAAATGTGTTTCTTATATGCAGCTTAATGGTGGATCTTGCCTCTTGATCCATTCTATCAGTCTGTTCTTTTGATTGGTGTATTGAGACCATTAACATTGATGGTTATAACTGATAAGTATCAATTTTCTGTCCTGTTATTTTCCTATTGTTGGCTCCCTTTTATCCTCTCTGTTTACTTAACAAAGGAAACTGAATCCTGAAAAACACCTAAATGATCCCAAGTGACATTTAGAAACAGGAAAAGGGAGGGAGGAGTTAAAAAAAAAGAACAAATAAAAAAAAAAGTAACAAGGTAGTTTAAATCTAACCATTTCAATAATCACATTAAATATAAACAATAATCATGGGTCACAAACAATACATACATAAATGGGCTTGGCTATGTTCCAATGAAACCTTATTTACAAAAGCAAGCAAATTTTGTCTATGAAATATGGATT